TAATTTATTAAGATCTGTATGTATTTTAAAAATGTGTATTTCCTCCAAGGAATAGGTGGCAAGATTTTTAATTCTCTCGGTTGTTTCTTTACTCTGATTGCTATTTCCTTTTTTGCAGAGGTTTGTTTATTTGACAGAAAGTAGTTTGTTGATTGGTAACGATACTAATTCTTGACTCGATAATTTATTTTTGAGGATTTTTGATTTCATTTCTTGTGTAATTTGGATTCAGCTCACAGTGTGTGCCTTTGCATAATTTGAAAAAAAAATTCTCTTTTGTCCTCCAGAATATTAATTTTCTATTTAACTATTTAGATATTTGATCCATGTTAATTTCAAGGTATAAAGATTTCCAATTCTTTTATCTCTTCTCTACGAACCTTGGAGCAAAGAAGACTTACCTTATTCTCTCTTTCCCTCTTTCCTGTTCTGTCTTCCATCTACTCTCTTGTACTCTCTGACTCTCTCTTCCTCTTTTGGATCTTTTGGTTTATTTTTAGTTTCTTCGTCTGAGAGGAACATGCAGTATTTGTATTTCTGTGTCTTATTTCACTTAATGTGATGCGAACCAATGCTTAAAATTATTCTACAAACTACATGATTTCTCTCTTTATGATCTAAGTTAATCCTTTGTGTTTGTACCAGGATAATTCTCTGGTCATTCATCTACTGAGAGTCATCTACGTTGACTCTGTACCTTGACTTTTGGAATTGCACTGCCATAAATGTGGATGTGTGGGTATCTCTAGAGTATACTGACAAAATTACAGAAATATAGCAATGAATGGAAGGAGAGGATCTATCTTTTAGCTTTTTGAGGAAACTTCATGCTGATTTCCATGGAGACTTCTCATGCACAGTGCCAACAACAGAATTAAAGTGCAGTCTTTCCTGTTCCTTGCCAGCATTTAGTGTTTATGATTGTATTATTGACAGCTGTTGTGGGTAAGGCATTTTATAAATTTCATCACATTTTATTATAATTGATGTATATTATATAATTACTAATATTTTAATGTTGAGAAAATAGAATTTTTAGTACTGCTCACACAGTAATGGTCCTTTCTTAAGTATACAATAAAAGAATGATTGACAAACTGAAACACAGAATTGACAGTGATCGCAGGTTAGGTTGGAATTAAACACCCTAATTTTGTATCTAAAATTATATTATTATCTTAGTGAGATGATTGGACTAAATATGAACTCTACAAATAATTCCCTAATGCAGCATTATATTCTCAGGCATAGCGGTCAACATATTTTTCCTTGGTTCAGATGAAATGAGACAAGATAGATGCAAAATATAGTGTTTTGGTAAACAAAAGTATGTACATGATCTTATTCCACAATGTAATTGTGATGGAATCACTAATTGTCAACTTGTGACACCCAGCTGAACTAAAACAGCATGGTGCTGGGTGTGAATGGCTCCTAGGATTATTGTGAACAACATAGAAAAGCAAACTGGAGGAGAAAATTGTGTGCTATTGATTGTCCTGGAGAAGCTCATTAAGTTGGCTTTCCTGACAGGAAATTAGCATTTCTGATCATCAGTGGAATTCAGGGCCTTGCTGTTGTTGAGAATGACTACATTTATTTGTAGTAGCCTTTACTTTGGAGCATCTCTTCCTGGTTCCAGTGTAGGTCCGATGGCATAGTGGCACAGATTCTTCCTCCCACTGTCACAGACTTACAGTCTTAAAACACTGACCTTTGGAAACCCCTAGTGTAGATCCTTGATACAGATTTCACATGAGACATGGTCTTAGTTTCATGTCCTCCAGATGGACACATGTAGGACATTGTCATGGACTCTAGGTCTTCAGATGGATTTGTGCAGGGCATTGACATGGGATCCAGGTCTTTAGCTAGATTTTTTGCGTCTCTAGTGTGCATAAAATTTGACTTCTCTCTTTTGCATTTGGTAAGTATTATAAAATAATCCTATAAATCATGTGTACTATTTTAAATATTTTCCCTTGTAAAACCATGAATACAACAAGTAATCAACTGTGTAACATAAGGAATTCTAAAGAAAGTGTTTTAATCTTTGTAACAAATGATATCAAAAGCAAACTTAGATTTCACAACATAATTTAGAATATTATGCTTGGTAAATATATGAAAATGTTAAATTTTACCTATCAAATCTGATTCTTAAAGTCATACATTGCTTTATGAGTTGCCTTTAAATTAAAATACTAACATAATGGATGCTGGAAGTACAGTGACAATCTTGCCTGTAAACTTTTACAATTTATGTGACATAGAATAGTTTTAATGGGAAGTAGTGTGATATAATTTTGTATATTGTAATCTCTAGAGCAAATGCTAAAAAATAGAGTAACTCTAGTGCTATTGTGTTCATTTTCAAACCATTGATTCACTTCAACAAAATGTGAGGTCTTTAAATTATTAGAAATAGAATATCAAAGCCATTGCACTTTAACTAAACTTTTTTGCATTCATTTTCACACTACATTCAGAATGTGTTTTCCCAAAAATGTGTGATAGAAATTTGAAAAATTCAATGGAAAGTGTAAAAAAGCTGATTTAGTTGTACCTATTCCTGAGATTCCAGATGCTTTCCTGAGATTCTAGGAAAAGCTCATATCAAATTAAAAAGCTTTTGCACAGAAAACGGAACAACTAAAGAGTGCAGAAACAATATATTCATGAGAAAGACTTATACTAGCTGTTGCACAGACAAAATAAAGAATTAAAAGGAGTATATCCTCAAATTGAAAGATTCAGTAAGGTTGAGCAACTGAAATGTGTAGATACTTCTCAGAAAATGATATTCAAATGGCCAAAAATACATTATAATATGCTCATGATCCATCATCCCTGAACAATAGAGAAGTGCAAAGTAATATTGTGCTGATCTCATCTTACTTGTGAAAGTTTATCCAAAAGTCATTTAACGATAACAAAGTGAGAATAAGAGGGGGAAACACACTCTCCACTTTGCTTGTTGGAACATAATCTATTATAGCTATTGTGGAAATCCTTGTGGAGACACTAAATATTCTAAAAATAGAAATTCTCACTGATTTATCTAGTCCCTTCTAGGTATCTTAAGAAAAGAGTAAAAATCAGTGTATCACAGGAAAACGTGCATATCCTTGTGTATAAAGCAGAATATACAATGGATGGATTTTATAAACACTGTATACATGCATCAAAATTATCAGGAAATTGTGAGAATTTTACACAGTGGAGTACTGTGCTATCATAAAAAATCTGGAAGCATTCTTTGGTAAACAAACACATTTTGAAAAATAATATTAATTGAAATAAAATGGAAACATATGCAGAAATAATCCATTGTTTTTCTTATATGAGAAAAACTATAAAAAGAAGAAGCAAAATAAAAAGAGATAAAAGTAAGTAATGAGGATTAAAAATATCTTCCCAAATTACAAATTTCATTGTTTTAAAATTATTGCCCTATGTGTAAACTAGATGGTACCCTATATGTTAGTATATCTTACTTTGTTGAAAAAAGGTTTATGTTTATTTTGTTTCTTTTTTATATAAATGATGTTTGGATAAAAAACCTTGATATATATATATATATATATATATATATATATATATATATGTGTTGTATAACATTTTAGTTAAATAAAACCTGTCCTATTTTCACTTGGACAAGTGTTGCTTTCCTGTATAGTAACCATAATCTCAAATAGTACAAATTTGTTTAAAAAAACAAATTTTTGGATTGCTACAAAATTTAAAGAAAGAAGAAATACACTATGGAAACAATATGAAATTTTCATATGTGAGTTTGATTTATTTCATTTATGAGTGGGGTCTCAAAAGTTGCATCCATTTTCCTGTGGATGCCCCAATGTGTTACTTCTTTATAGCTGAGTAAGAAACTAAAAAAGTAAATAAGATACAAAATCTTCAATGAATATTGTAAAAGGGTAAGAAACTGCTCAAAGAAAAAAATATCTCAGAGAAAATGAGAAAATAACAAAGGGAAAAGAAAAAAATATATGTATTAAAATAGCTAAGATAATTGTACTAATAATTCTATTAGTTCTTGGAACAAAACAGTTAACATTTCAGGACTATGTCAATTTTGTATGATTATATCTGTTAATCCAATTTTTTTAAATATAACTATTCAAAATAACAGCATTAGTTATGTTCCTGCCACTTTGTTTTGAAACCTTTATTATTATTTGGGGTTCTTTGTTATTGTTATTTATTTGTCTCTTCTGTTTCCTGTTTTTCATGTATTTTTTCCCCCTAATACAGTAAGGATTGGTGTACATGTATAGGCTTATACATGCCTAGAACTTCTAAAGAGTTTATAAGAATTGATTTTATTATCTGTGATGGTATGAACATCTATGAAACATTATGATAGGCATTGCTGATATTCTATTCAATAATGCTTTTCTCCTTTGTTTTGATAGGTTTTAGCTTTTTTGATGTCAATATGTGTGAAGATATGTCAGTTACTTTGAAGGCAACAAGAGACATTATAGTAGCCATTGTTGATTTTCCAATTGTCTGGTTTTGAAGTCCTGTAATGCTTTCATTCTTTTGTTTTGATCATTATTGTGCTATTTTATTTTGTTCAAATTCATTGTATGTGAAGATATGGAAACTACTTTGAAGAAAGCAAGAGACATTATGGTACCTGCTGTCAGTTTCCTGTTGTCTTGTTTTGAAACCCTCTGTTGATTGCATTGTTTTGTTCTGATTGGCTTTGTTGTTTTATTTTATTCTCTTTAAAATAAAAGAGAATCAAAAAAAGAAGAAATAACGACAAGCAAATCAAGTAAGTAGAGGACAGTACTAAAATTGACTTTGAAATACAAAAATTGATCTTTTCATAAATACTTTTTCCTTCTTTTCTGGTTATCTATAGATTCAGATTCCTAGTAGTTTTATAACCTAAACTACTGGACAGCTTGTATGAAAAGCATATTGATTAATGCTTAAGTAATTATTTTCAATTGAAATAATAATTGTGTATTGCTTCTGAGCCTATTGGTAAAGATCAAATGTCGTATGTGTTCTTATCAGTTTAGTATCTGATGTGTCCTCTACTTGATGACAATTTATTGAGTGGATTTTTGGAGCTGGCTGAAGCACTAACTTTCTGTTTCCACTCCACGCATCAACCTGGTACTGACGTTATACTAGGAATGGTGCAACAACAGCAACAACAACAGCAACAGCAACAACAAAGGAAAAGAAATGTTTTGATGAGTAGTGGGAGAACATGGGGGATTGATAGCAGCAGCTTCAGAGGCTCTCTGAGAAACCACATTCAAAATCCAAGGATGGTGCCAGGCGAGAAATGCTAAGCAAGGGGAGACACATTTTGCAGACACAGAAACAAAGTAAACTAAGAGAAACCAACTGGAAATGCAATCCCGGTGATATAACAGGAAAAGATAAGGTCTCAGCATGGAAGCTGGACCCCGTGCCATTGGAAGCTGTGATTTGAAATTCCTGAAGCTGCTGCTGTGTCCCAATCTGCATGACAAGGAGAGAGGCATGAAAGGTCTGAGAGTGGGAAGTGATAAATGGAGTTGAGAGCGGGACTGGCTGGGAGCCCTGCATTGACCTGCAGTGAGTGAGCAGATCGGGGACCCTTCCACAGAGTAGGAGGCTTCAGCAAAGGACATACTGGGACTGGGCATGCTACCTGGAACAGGATGCTGCAGTGACTTCAGTCATATATTCCCCTCTCAAGCAGGATTGTTGGGGAGTGCCTGGCCTGCATGATGCTGCTGACTAAGACCCAGTAGGCGAGCCCCACACAGGTCCCAGCACCTGGAGGTGCACCCTAGCAGTGAAGCCTTTGGTAGGTTGACTGGAGGGGTGGGCCCAGCATAGGCTACCCAGATCTGTGTCTCCCTAGTACACCGCAATGGGCAGGAACACCTAGCTGGTGCAGTTATAACTTTAGAGCACTTTCTTTTCTTTTCTTTTGTACAATGACAATTACACATTTTGGGTTTTGTTACTCCCACAGTTCTTAATACTTTTTTTGAAGAGAGTAAAACCAAATGCGAAGTATCAGAACAGAGTCAGTCAAGTCAAAAGGATGGATATAATAGATAATGTAAAACAACATACTAGGTGACCAACAATGGTTACCATACTACCTCTTGCTATTTTACAAAGAATTGCCAGTTATAATAAAATTGAATGAACAGTAAAGAATATAGCCAAAGCATTGGAGACATTACAGGACTTTAAAAGAAGATAATAGTCAACCAGAATTGGCATCATAATGATTCTTATTGTCTTCAGTTTTGCCTCTACTTTTGAACTTGGTACTATCAGGCAAAGTAGATTAGGGGAAAATCAGTCAAAACAAGATGGTGAGGGCAATACAGTATTTCAAATCAAATTAATAGGAAATCAAAGTAGGTTACTATAATGTATCTTGATATTTTTTATTTATTTTCCCTTAATTAAAAAGATAAAAAGAAAAAAGTAAGTAATTTTTTTAAAAAGGGATTGAGATAAAAGAGGGCATAACAACAGAACAGTGCAGGTCAAAACATAACCATTGAAGCAAAATAGTGTTTCACTACAAGATATCCTGACATAAAAATAGTTACCATAGTGTCTTCTTCCTTGAAATCTTTGAGTATAACTTTGTATATTTGAGTATAACTTTTGTAGCACCAAACATATCAAGACATTTAAAACCATTCAGGAGAATCAAATTAGTACACAGTATTTAGAATCCATTAACAGAAAATGAACTATGGTTTCTGTATAATCTCCTTGTCTATAAAAGTTTTTACTTATATTATCATATATAATAAAATCCAATAAGATACAACCTTTTAAGACTGATGGATACAGAAGAATACAAGTTTGATGGGACTTCAAAACAAGATGATACTAAATCTGCACTAGCTATTATGATGTCTTGTTTTCTCCAGAATAGCTGTTCCTACCATCTGATCTTCTCTGCCTCATTTCTGTTGAGCTCTTTTTCTGTCGTTTGTTGTCAGTTTGTCTTCTTCATTTTGCTTTCTGCTCCATTCATTGTGGCCTCTCTGCCACTATTTCTGGAATCTTGGTATTTTCCTTTTTTACAATATCCTGCAGTATTCTCTGTAGAGTTGAATTGGTGGTTGCAAATTCCGCTAGTTCCCCTTTATCCTGGAAGCACCTTGTTTTTACATCAATTTCTAGGGACAGTTGTGCAGGATATATCGATCTTGGCTGGAGGTTATTATCTTTCAAAGCTTTAATTATTTCCCCCCCATGCTCTTCATGATTTGATGGATTGTGCCGAGAAGTCTGCTGTAATTCTGATGGGGGTTCCCTTGTAAGTGATTTGTTTCTTGTCTCTGATGGCTTTTAATATTCTATTCTTATATTGGATTTCTGGAATTTTGATTATTATATGCCTGGGTGTAGCTCTGTTTGGGTTGTAGGTGGCTGGGGAACTACATGCTTCATACATCTGAGTATCTTTACCATTTGCCAAATTAGGGAAATTCTCTTGGATTATTTCTGTGCATAGCTTCTGTAGTCCATTTGTTTGTGTCCCTACTTCTTCTTTTATGTTCTTAATTCTTAAATTATAGATCCTCTTATCATCTTCTAGCCTTTGTATTGTTGCTGGGTTTTATTGTTATTTTTAAGAAGTTTTTCATTTCATTCTCCCATATTACAAATCTGCCCTCCTGTTCAGATAATCAATCCTTAGTTTCTTTCAAGCTTTCATGCCAGTTTTTGATGGAGTTTTTAGTTTCCTGTTAATCTCTTTGAACCTGCTTCACATACTCTATGTTTTCTCTATTTTCTCCATCAAACAATTCTCCCCCCTTTTTTTTTCTTCTCTTGCATTACACCATTTGTTTTTTCTTGGGCAATGCTTAGCATTTCTCCAACTATTCTACTTACATCTTGCTTCAGGTCATTAATAACTTCATTCCTGAACTCATCTATGAGGCTCAATGATAATATTTTATGATGATCACCTAGAGTTTAATATAAGAAAGTGCTAGAAATGTGTCCACAACACTAAAGACCCAGAATATTCAGCCAAGGGCCTGGATCCCACAGCAATGTCCTGCATGAGTCCAGGTACAAACCTAGAGCCCATGACAATGCCTCCCATGAGTCCAAGTGGAGGTCTAGAGCCCACAAGGACACACATCAGTCTGGTTTACAGATCCATGCTGGAAAGGCTCAAAGGTCAATGGTGGAAGCTAGAAAGTCTACCAGCAGTGTGAAGGCAGTTTGCTGGTAGGTGGAGGGTTCTATAATGAAGCCAATGAGTCATGCTCAAAATAAGAGCCAGGGATGCCCTGAAAAGTACTACAGCTATCCTCAGCAACATGGAATACTCAAGATCCTCTGACAATAAGTACAGTCAAGTACATGCCAGAAAGCCAGCATGACCAGTTTGTCCTTGAGATTAAATGGCACACATCCTTCATTTCAGAGCCAGGAAGTGATGATCAATGTAGGGATTAGAGCTTCCCCAAAGTGAACCACAGCCACTCTCACCAACAAGCTCCTCATTTCTTCTGATTAAAATGGTCACACTCACACTAGGAAAGGTGGTCTTGATGAGTTCCTCCAGGAGAATCAATGGCTCAAACAGCAACACACAGGAGAATACACAATGCCTAGCTTCTCTTTCTCCACGTCTCCATTTATGCTAGAAATTTTCCTCATGTTGAGCATCTACACTCAACACCATGCTGATTTAATACAGCTGGCATTCAGTTGACCATCAATTTTTAATCCATAACAGTCCTAAAGGACCATCTCAGCCAGTGAGTTCAGAGTCTCCTCTAAGTAATGAACATTTTGTTCAAGTGTACCCAGATCACGCTATATTTCTTTGCTCAGTATCTGGCAATTTCAATCTCCCTTTATGAGGGCTGTTTTTCCTAGTACTGTGGAACTGCCTATTCCTAATCCTAAAAGAATGGGAATTAGGCATGGGGCTTCTTTTTCTCTCATGAGGTTTGGTAAACCCATATGTTCCCTACTTCTTTATTCAGAATACCTGTACACTTGGGGAAGAATATGAGTTAAGATACAGAGCCCAGGGTAAGGTCCAGTGAAGACAGCCAGAGAGTGTAAGGGTGAGGCCTATTGTACAGGCCAACCAACAGGGAGACCAAATGTTGGTTTGGGGGTAAGAGACATTTTCTACATACACAGTTGAATTACAATTGTTTTCAAATGTGGAGTGCTTCAAGGGGAATTTTACAGACTTCATGAAAATTCCAGAGCTCTGAATATTTCCCAAAGTGAGGGATTTAGGTCCCTATTTCTATCAACTATAGGGTGAGGAGGATAATCTGTATACATACAAACAGATTTAGGGCCTGCATCTTTGGAGCTTGGTTTTTAAAGTGTCAGAAGACATTTTGGTAGTTCAGTTAGCTGGAGTCTTTGGTCCTGAGGCATGAAGTGGGAGTGATAAATTCAAAGGTTCTTTCTGTCAAGCTTGTGGAGTGTAGCAGTACTCAAGGTGATTGTATAGCATCCTTCAACATGGTTGCCTAGGAATATAGGTCTTCTCCTTTTGGTGTAGATTTGATCACCAGATTGAACTGCCATGGGTCATTAGATCTTTCAGGAACTGTCTTAGTGGCCACAGAAGAGCAGGCAGTGGAGAGTCTGTAAGTGTTAGGCTGTAAGTTTCCCTGTTAGTGACAGCAGCCAAATTATCATCTTGAATATGGGGGAGTAAGAGGGTGGTCGATCATACATTGCATCAAAAGGAGTAATGCCTTGGAGGTGTGGAGTACATCATGCAAGTATAAGGGCAAAAGGAAGAAGACTTACCCTGTTTTCACCAGTTTCAAAAGCCAGTTTTGAAGTAGTTTCCTTTATTCTACTGTTTATTTTCTCTATTTGGCCAGAACTTTGAGGCCAGTAGGCACAATGTAATTTCTAATTGAGTTTTAAAACTGAAGTTAAATTATGAGTGATCTGAGCTGTGCAAGATTGGCCATTGTCGGACCCCAGGGAGGTGGGCAAACTGAATCGAGGCACTATCTCATTGAGGAGGTTCTTAGCTATGATGAGAGTTGGTTCAGTCTGAGTAGCAAATCCTTCATCCACCCAGTGAATGTGTCTACAAGAACTATGAGATTTTTATGTTTCCTCTTCCTGGGCCCATTTTGGTAGTCTATTTCCCAGTGGTATAGAGGTAAGTGC